GCATATTCATGCTCGCGATCTCTGTCGGAGATCATGAACGCCAGCGGCACACCAGCGCCTGATTCGTCAGCAGCAACGAGTGCTGTTGTCGCCCAGTCGTAGCGGTTGACTGAGAAGGTTGAATCCAGGAACAGGACCTTGGGACGAAGGGCGTCCCACGTTGCCCGCTGACAAGGCGTCATTAAAATCAGAATGTTCGACTCCCTCAGGGGGATTTCGAGGCAGCTCTGGCAGTCGCAGTGAACAAATTGATGATAAATGACATCGCTTTTGTCGCCGTATTGGCTTTCGCCGGGGCACTGCCCATCTTGGTAGAGCGAGTGAGGGTGAGAGCAGGCATACGACGAGGTTGACGCGAGAAATTGGTCGATGCGCTGCTGGTCGGTTCCATGTAGCTTCTCGCTGCTTGAGTTGACTATCATCATGCGAATTGCGTCTTTGGTGGGATACCAGCGACCAGAAGTGTACGGTACGTTCCAACTTGAAAGAGGGCGAGGCGGCGGGTTGAGAGTTGGCCCTTCCAACTGCGCTACAATGGACGCCTCCGAGCACCCCTTGCGCACCAGATCCATGACCCACTCTTTGATTTCAGGATGCGCGCGCTGCTTGAAAGCGAGCGAGCCGTCGGTGCAAGCCGTGTCGTGGCGACCCATCTGCTCGAGCTTGAACCCAATAAGGAGCAGCTCGCCGTGCATGTGTTGGCCAAGCTCCGTCAATCTCAGACCGAAACTGCAGGATCCGGCGCCGAGCTCCGGACGTAAGTGAAAGTTGTTGTCAACTCGCTTCTTGCTGGAGCAGGCGCGAATAAATCGTTGTTGGAGAGTTGGTGTGTCTGGCACGGTCGTAGGCGGCCTCGACGGATCGCGTCTATTGAAGCAATACCAACGGCGTGTTCGAACAGGAATGACCGTCGTACTAGGGCTCCACTGCGGAAGTTTATCTCGCTCCTCCTTGGTGAGATGGACTCCCCTGCGCTTCCGAGGCGTTCTTGAGCGGCAGTTTTCGTCGTGCCCGTCTTGTCGTTAAGAAATTCAAGAATGTCGTCCCTATCATCTTGCACTACGCTAGTTTCGTCGTCGGCCAAGTCGGTGGACGCGGGTTGCACGGAAGACAATCTGCAGTCGCATTCAGCGATGTCGTCGTCTTCGGTGGGATTGGCGTCGTATCGCAACCGAATGTCATGATTGTTCTCCTCGAGCATCTTGACGCGTCTCTCACTCGTCGGGTGGAAAATAGCCAACGGGATGACTCGTGTAAATCTCGGGTTTGACGCGTGCTTGACTGCTGTTTGCTGAATCCCCCC